ACTCTTAATACCTGCCCCCTCTCTCCCTCATTCCAGAAGAAAATAGCCCACAATCAGACAGAAAGTGTCAGGACATTTGGTGGTCTGCCTGACCTTCAGCTTCCTACACTGCCTTGTGGAGAGGATCCTGGCTCTGACAGTTCTCATTTTGCTGACTGGCTATGTCCAAGCCCCTGGACTGGTATCAGAGGCTGCCCTTGATGTACTGTTCCTGGAGCCCTTGACCAAAGGCTATTTCCCAGGACTTGACTAGAGGAATGCTGCCAACCACAACAAGCTTCCTGGTTTTGTGTCTGTGCTAAATGATAAGGCAAAACAGGAGTAATGTGAGCCTAGTATCTCTGGCTGAGGGGACAAGGCACAAAAAGGCAAGGCGAGGCAGGGATGATATGAAAGGTCCAGGGAGGCTTAAGGAGAGTGAGTATGAAAACAGCAAGTGATATCCAGCCTGGTTTAATCCACGAGCAGGTCACGAGGCAGTGGGATTGCAGTTCTAGTTGTCAGTGCACCCTGAGGGTGCAACTTGGCCAAATGAAAACATGGTTCAAGGGGATGGAAGGTGTCCCATATGATACAAAGGGGCTGGCAAGTATCCGATTCCTAGGTCCATGGATGCAGCGTGCTGGTTGCCCTTGCCCATAGAGTGTGCCCTGAGATATCGGTGCAATGTTTCCATTTCCAAAGGCACAAGCTGGGAGTTTGGTTCCCACTCAGACTTTCATGTCGAGAATTTTTAGTTTCTAGTTACCTTGCAATGGGTGTAGGAAAGGAAGCTGTATATTAATGAGCTAAGATCAGCAGTTAATGAGGCTGACACCCTGTTATAATCCCTGTTAATAGGCCTTTCAATTTAGTTTTAACATCCAGTAATCTGTTGGAAAATGCAACTCTGCTCCTGATGTTGAGAAAGGCCTGTTGAACTTCTCATCCAATTCTCCCAGATTTCTCACCTTAGCCCATGCTGTTTAGGCCACTGTAAGATTCCTCCCTGAATGTTAATTCTGCAATCACAGAATCCTTACAATGTGGAAACAAGCCATTTGGCCCAAAAAGTCCACACAAACTCTCTGAAGTGCATCCCACTCAGACTCACCACCCTCCACTCTAAAAACTGAAAGAACTGTGGATGCTGTAAATCAGGAACAAAAACAGAAGTTGCTGGAAAAGCTCAGCAGGTCTGGCAGCACCTGTGAAGAGAAAATCAGAGGTAGCATTTCAGGTCTGGTGACCCTCCACTATAACCCTGCATTTCCCACAGCTAATCCACCTAACCATGGACAGTCCACGTAACCCACACAGGTCTGGACTGTGGAAGGAAACCCACTCAAACACAGGGAGAACATGCAAACCCCACACAAACACCCAAGGCTGGGATCGAACCCAGGTCCCTGGTGCTATGAGGCAGCAGTGCTAACCACTGAGCCATCATACTGCCTGTGAGAGATCTATATGTGGATATCGTCTTTGGAAATTGGATTTTAAAATAGAAGTAGAATGATTTGGCCAGTTTTGTGAAAAAAAATTAAAAAAGGATAGAACATCATTTAGACAGTGACCTAAATACATAATTTCTATGAATCTGACTTAAGTCAGTTGCCTCATGCACCCTTGTGTTGTTACTGGATAAAATGCTTATCCAGCTTGGTTTAGGACAGGCAGAGTGAACAGAACAAAGCCATTTGTTACACTTTGATTTCAGAGCAGACAAATCAATACTTTCAGTTCATTTCAAAGGAAATAAACAAATACAATTTAGTTCAGTGGAGCTAGTCACTTCAGCAGAAGTGTTTTCTAGTCTGTAGCATTTCCAAACCAGTGGGTTTATACAGAAGTCTTCAAATTGTTAGATACTAAATAAAAACCAAAAAAACTGCGGATGCTGTAAATTAGGAACAAA